CCGTGCGTCTGCACGGATGCCACCTCTCAGCCGGGAGGTGACGCCCCGGGCTCTGGTCCCCCTCGGCCAGGGTGGGTCTCGTCGTGCCCCTACGTGCTCTGTCACTGTCCTCACGTGCTCCATTGCGCAGGTCCAGCCGTGTGGCAGGTCCTGCCCCGGGACGGGGGTGATGCCGGGGTTGGAGCCGCCAGCCCTTGCACTAGGGAAGGGGACCTGGCATGGGTGGGGAGGCAGTGAGGGGGCTCGGGGACCCCAGGCACCCGCTGCAGGTGGTTTGGGCGCACTGGCGTGGATCCCCGGGCTGAAGCAGCCTCCCAGTAGATCGGTTGTGGGAGCGGCGGCGGCAAGAGGCTGGTCCTGGTCTCTGGTACATGGGTGATACGCAGCACAGCAAATCTTTGTCCCTGGCCACGCCGGCCTCGGAGGAAGGAAGCTGACATCTCTGCATTCGTGCACTTTATTAGCATTTATGAGCACTCGGGCTCTCTGCTGACTTCTTCCAGCTGGGCACGGTCCTGCTACACGTCCCGTTCCCCCAGGAGCACGGATACAGCCACTTAACCAGTAGTAACTCAAGTCCTCTCAAAGGAGAGCCCGGCCAAGTGGAGTGCAGGAGGCTTTTGCGGCCAATAGGTATTTGAGGAAACAAGGGGGGATGTTGGTTCTGGAGAGCTGGGACTTGTCCGTCCGTCCGTCCGTCCTCCCCGTGGCCACCCTGCCCGCAGCCCTAGCGTCTCCTGAGGCTTGTTAACGTGGGGTTTCTAGTCTGCTTTAAAATGCACAAAGCCAAGCCCCTCGCTGTTGGCTCCCCACGCCATAGCGAGGATAGTTCCCCACTTTGGATGTTGCAGGAGGAAGGAAACAAACCCAGCACTACTTGGTGATTCTGCTGACTTAAGGCTCTTTTCCCCAAAGGCAAGGAGGAGTGCGGTACTGCCCTGGGTCTTGTGCTGCTGTCAAAAATGCCCTTACAGCACTGAATATTAAGAGAACCAAACAAAAGCCAGCCTTTACAGGCAAAGACAGATCCAGACAGCAGTAAAATGCACCCTGAAATCTCTCTGGATGCAGCCCAAAATCTGACTTTCCATGCAGGCAGGCTGCCTGCTCTATTTCAGAGGTGTTTACTTTTCCGGACAAGCAAAGCTCCAAGCAGAATTGCTGATGTTGCCTTGGTCCTGTGCTGGGAACCGGGGGGCCCTGGGGTGATACGAGGTGTTTAAAGCTGTGCGCCGCTCCTGTGCGTGCCCTCCTGGTAACGCCGTTGCACGAGCCAGCCTTGCCCCGGTGAGTTTTGCTGCCGTGCGCGCTGTGCAGCGCCGTGTTTTCCTGGCTGCGCTGCCCTGGGTGCAGCGCCCAGCACCCGTGAGCAGTAGCTGGTGGGGTGCCCGTGCCGTGGGCTGGGGTGTGCCGTGGGCGCTGCGCCCCGGGGGAAGCA